CTGCTAATACTCGGAAGGAAAAAACTTGGGATCCATCCATGAGCATGGTTTTCAGAAATCTTGAAAGGAACATGCACAAGTACAAGTTTTCCACCAATCACTTTTATTTTTTATTTGCATCTGTCTAATTTGTTTCATTTATTTATGAATGAGCATACAGTGCAGAATCCATAAATATGTTAATCGGCACTGAATCGACCTTCAAATGGGTGAAGGGTTCAATTTAAAGTTCACTTACAACAGATTGGACTAATAGTCAATGGACCATATTTCAAAAAATTTATAACTAATAATAACACAAATTTAAAAACATAAAAATTTACTGCAACAATTTCTCAAATTTGTTTAAGCCCATCAAACCGGACAAAACCACATCAATCCGACTTATTAAAACATATCAAACACAAATTTATCTAATTTTTGTCAAGACACTTTAACAAAAACCTAACAAATCGGACCACATAGTCCACTTTCATCTTGAAAACTATCGCATATTTCGCATCATAATTATCAAAACCATACCAAAAGGTCCAACCGATCGAAAAGCATACCAATGCCTTAATCAATACGGTAAGAGTAAACATTAATATTTAACCAATTTTGACAAATCGGATTTAACTGATTCAATTAATTAAATAGAGTTACGATTCAATCAATTAAATAAAGTTACAAAAAATTACAATACATTTTATATTGTTAAACTACTATGTTCATTTGTCTTTTCCTTTTTTTTTAAAATCCAATCCAACCGGTCAACCCATTGTGTTTCACCGATTTCACTAGACCAAAGCCCTTACCAATTTGGTGGTAGGTCCAACCGTAATAACTCACATACCTGAAAGTCTCTCAAGGAAAATCCATGATGATATAACAAATAAAGCGCATGAAGCTAAGAGATCCACATTCATAATTAAGGAACCTCAAACTTGTAAATTTATGATGAACAGAAATATTAAACACAAAACAAACACAAGATCCCCAACACAATTCAAAGTTCCCAGAAGTCTCAGTTATAAAAAATGGAAAGCTTATCCCAAAAAGCCTATCTGGTTGGATTAAAAAACTAATCTCTAATAAAACAAGAAGAAAGAGACTAAACCACGTCTACTCGTCTTCTTGGCTGCGCAACCTTGCCAACTTGTTAGTAACTGCAATGTCGAGTTGAGCAGCCCTCTCCACAATGGATTTCCTCTTTAAAGTGGACACATTGTGAGCAATCTCCGCACAAAAAGTCCTGAACATAATCATAAGCATTAGTACATAAGAAAAGCAAAAATCCTTCTGTGTTTAGGCATGTGCGCAGGGCAGGGTGTTGAAGAAAATTGTAGACACAACTGCATATAATCTCTCTCTCTCTCTCTCTCTCTCTCTCTCTCAACTCACAAACAAAACAAACCCTAATATTTTTATTTAGATAAGTAACAGATCGAACTGTCTATTGTGTTGATTCTCCACTAAAGCAAAACCTAAACATCTTTATCCAGATAAATAATAGAGCAAAGCACCTGTTATGCATCAACAGGAGGTCGAGTTCATTGGCATTGTGCACCACAAATTTCTTGAAACCATTGGGAAGGTAATGCCTTGTCTTCTTGTTTGAGCCGTATCCAATGTTCGGCATCAATGTGACTCCCTTGAACTTCCTCCTGACACGAGAGTCTATACCCTTAGGCCTTCGCCAGTTTTCCTATAGCAACAAAAAGCAACCTATCAGAACAAAATGCATGCGTACACGTTGAAGTTCAACACTTCCAAATGCACATAAAATATTAAAAAACTATGCAAATATTTTCAGTTTATCCATTATAGAATCAACTCCACATAAAAGACACAAACAACCTCTTCTGACAGATCGATCTAAAAATTCCATAGAAGATTCAAATCTGCAAATTATAGTAACCAAGGCTTAGGGGGCACATGCAAATCTGCAAATTATAGTGCCATTATTGGTGAATACTGCACCAAACATAGAAGGTTAAATCCAAATGTCGAAGAACAAAATTAGATCTCACCCTCCAGTTACCAACATCTCCAATTCACAAGAAAGGACAGAAATTCTCATTTTCGAGAAATAATATCAAGATCTAACATTGCGGTATAAGAATGCCATGAGATCCTTTATGACAACCACACAAACTGGACCACGAATAACAGGATATATTATGGAGCCCTCGAAGAAGAAAAATGTCCTATTGGGTATGTGATTTCAAGCGTTAAAGTCCTCTCATATTCGAGAGTGATGATATCACAAAAAGATCTACTAAGAAAGTCCACTCATAGTCCATAGATATGATGCTGAAGCCTCTTATAAGACCAAAATGACATAGAGGCATGTGACAAGAAGATATGAGCATACCTCAAACAATATAAGAAGAACCCCATGTTAGAGCCCCAAGCATTTTCGTAGTTTCCCAAGGAAAGAAGAAGCTATGAATACAGATTCTTGCCAGAAATTAGAGGAACGTCATACATCACGAGCCAGTTCCCAAGGAAAGAAGAGGACATGCAAAAATATTCGTGCTAGAAATTCAAAGGGGAAGGGATACAGCATAAGCCAGAAGCCTATGTGCTAAAGCTATATCCCCAAGCAAAATCATACTGGTCATAAGGTTCCAGCTCATGTGTGAATCAATATGATCAATGAAAATTTTACCTGTAGGACCCAATACCATGTTAAGGTTCACTTCTTTTTTTTTTTAATAATTCCCATGTAAGGTTATCTTATCCAGATAAATGAACCTTTTTCAATCTCAGAGAAAAGGTGAACTAGCTGAAGATGTATCCTAAAAATCATTCGCAGTGAAAAGGTTGCTCAAACTCCAACTCATAAAAGAAATAAAGAAACACATGCCAACACATCACATGGCCGACTCACATATAGAGATAAAATGCGAGGCAAATCAAAAGACTTTCTGCTCAAGATGAGAGCAAGTAAATTGTATGACGCACTCACATCTACCATCTAGAAAACAGAAATAAAAATACAATACCAGGTAGCAGCCAGAATTCCATAAGAGGTAGTCCAGAATGTAAGTGAACAAAAACAAATTTGTTTAAAAAAAAAAAGGACAAACTTCACAAAAAAAATAAAAAACCGCATCATACAAAGGGCATAAAAGTAACAATATACTCAACTAAAACCCCAAATCTATGGGCTCCTTCTTGGAACAACTTATAGTGCAACAAGTGGCCGAAAAAAAATTAAACTATTTGTTGCACAAGCATCAATATGCAATGATATAATAACACAGGAGAAGAAAGGTACATTGTTCAAAGGCCAGATAAAAGATACATGAGCCCCAGCTTAGCATGTGAACCTTATCATCACAGAAACAAATCTTAGAAGCCTTTACGGTCCTAGATTTTGCTCTTCATCCAGTTGTCACAGACACTGACTAAAAGACTTAGTTACATCCCCAAAGGATCGATTGTACAAATTTAAAGATTTGCAGTGCTAGTTTCCTAGCCGACCCCAATTAATTGGGAAAAGGCTAAAATGATGATGATGCCGTGCCAATTTCCAGGCCCAAGTATCATGGGTCATCTGGTTTGCGTTCTTATGACTTACTTTAATACATACCTAAGAGAGGATTAAGCGAATGGAGAATAAGCATTTAAATGTAGAATAAACCATGCACGTCACTTAGGATTTAGCCTAGTAGCATAGAACCCTGGTTACTTAGGGGGAGGTCAAGGATCAACCTTGGAGTTCATAAAAAAACGCAAGCTGACCTAACATTTTTATAGGTTTTAAAAAAGTACCAGACAATTTTACTTGACCCTTAAATTCAACATTCACAATTTCCTAAAATTCATGCAATGCAAAATAGAAGCTAGGATGCATATATTTGGAAGAAAAATCAAAATATATATTGCTAATGCGAAAACAAGTTACAAATGCAAATATATATATAAGCGGAGCTGTTCGCAGGATTTCCAACCATAGAAATTAGAACATCAAGTACAAAATGGAAATAGGATTCTGATTCATAAGAAACTGATGCCCAACATTGCCGAATCTCTCATAACTAAAATTTTTAAGTTATATAACCAAATGTAGAAAAATATCTGGGAAAATATCATGTCCTATCATTTGGGTTTCAAAGCATCCAATACCGACAATGGAAGTCAGCTAAGAGTCTCTCAAATGAACCACACATCCCTACCATCCATTGTTAAGAACAGATGATTGAGGAGGTGCAAGGAAAGTCTTTCAAAAGCCAATGATAGCATAGAATTAATTTTACATGCCGAATAATGTTCCATGGAAGAATCCAAAATTTTCACTTTTGAGTCTCCTTTTCTTGCTTTGTTTTAATTGACACAACATTAAAAAATTAAATATTCAATTTGTCATTGCACATCAAAATGGATTCAACAGAAGGTTTTCTTTGTTATCATCCCAATGAATCAAAGGACTCCAATGCTTTCCTTACCTATTTAGCTATTTGCATCCTCTATAATCCATCTTAAAATGCAATTCCAGACAAGAGCAAAAGATCCATCTCAATCATTAGGCATGAAACCAAAACCATTTTCTAAATTCACAGGCAAAACCGTGAGCTTCAAAAGTCACCAAAACATCAAATTGACAAGTTATTTCCATCCTCTCAAGTAACTTTTGCACAGAAGAATTACACTTTTTCTGGAAAAATCACTTCAAGCAATAAGCATCTCAAATGAAAACAATTACCCAATTCAAATTTACAAGTTTGCTCACAATTTTTCACAGATCTGGATGTAATCAGAAATCTGGCCAAAATTCACTATTTCACATATTCTCAATAGAGAACACTGAGAAATTACACCAAATTTTTTGAGGAAATGCCTAAACCAATCAGCACTCTCATGACATTTATTCTGAACTCTCATGAAATTTATTCTGAAATTGAACTTTTCTTCTTAGCTATTCTTGTCATCGAAGCTTTGGCCTAGTTTTCTTCTCAAATGTGAAATCTCCTTGTCATTTTAGCTAATAAACGATCACCAGAAATTATCATAGGAACTATAATTATAATGTAGATTGTTCAAAAGCTAGATTTATTAGTTTCCCAAAATAAAATTATGCAGAATCACATGCTCACACATTAAACATTAGAACACCCATGATAATCACTTGAACGACTTAGCTAGCCAGCTAACCCTGCCCTAATATATCAATTCACCAACTTCGCCTGTAAATAACCATCTACTCAGAGAAACATAGCTTTCCACATTCAGTGAAAAATCACGAAAATCTAATCTCTGTTCTAGGAAATTAAAAACCATAGAGATCATACATATCAGTTCTCCGTAGCTGTAACCCTACGTAACAATATGATGAAACCCTTCATCTGAAATACCATAAGACCTAAATCTGAAAACCATAGAACCCTAGGTTGATGGGAACAAAATGGAGAACAGAGCTTACCTTGACAGAGATCTTGCGGTCGCTCTGGGGCCTCTTAAACTTCTTGACCCTCTTCTTCACGATCTTCTTGTTTAGGAGAGGAACCGCCATTTTTACGTATGAAGCTCTCCCTCTCTCTCTACTGGTACTCGGTTGCAGAGCCTCAGAGGTAAAACCCTAAACACTCGTTCCATTTTATAGAGGTTAGACGATAAGGTACCTAAAGTACCCTACACTTTTTTTAAAATGACCGAGGCAGTATAGTTGGAGCAATGGAGCTGACTATAATATGACCAAGATAGTCTATTGAGGCTCATCAACCTAGTGGTTATGGATTGAACGGTGATGACAGCTGGTTCGAGCCACACTACAACTCAATGAACGGTACGTATTGATTTCTCCATAACATTTACATCATCTCCTTCATTCCATGTAGACAAGTTATATGACTAAGGTGGTTATAATACAAAGAATACAAGTCTGCACACATTTGCACCATGTGTTGTTCATTGATTTGGACGGTGCAGATTTCACATAATGGCTGTCAGGGGAAATATTACCTGCATATTGGCCGCTAGGAGAAATATTACCTATTCTTTCAAACTTTTTTATCAATTAAAGAGAAATGATGCAACTCATACATCACAGTAGTGGTTGTGGAGGAAAATTTTGCTGCACCGTGATTTAGGCAATTGTGAGCCATGTAAATTTTTGGGCTTTGCTCTTTTATTTTGTACATATATTTTTCCCTTTATTTTTGCCTAAATCTTAATTTTTATCCTCTACACAAAATGATCAGGAAACAAAGGGTGAAAAATCGTGTAAATGCAAATATATTAGTTTGTGAAAGAAGTTTATTAGAATAGTACGTTCATCAATGAAACTTGAGAAGGCGCACAAAAAACAATTTTGAAATATTTTTCTTTAAAAAATTTGGGGTTTTGTTTTGAAATAAATTGTTTTAGATCTTGTAGATCTCATAAAACCTTGTAGAAGGCTCAAATTTGGTTCCGAAATTACCCAAACTGGGCCTCGAACAATAAGAAGTCAGACGTATATCTTTCACTTTTTGGGCTGAACATCCCAATTTCGAAATCTTCCAAATTCCAAAAATAAAGAAAATTAGGGTTCGAATTATAGAAAGGCAGTGTTTCACATCTTGTAAATATTGCAAAAGGCCTGGAATACTCAAATTTGGCACTTAAATGGCCTAAGATGGGTCCCCTATTGATAAAAAGGCCGGTGTTCTTAACTTTTAGTTTAAATAATAGTAATATAAATAGTAATATAAATAATTAAAATACCATAAAAAGGATATGGGATGGTATACGTCCCATGGACACTTGAAAGATGCACAAACACCTCTTAATTGTTCAAATTGAACTTAGCTTTATCCAAGTGCTACAAAATAATTTTTATTTGATTTTCTATGTTTTTTCACTTATATTTATCTAAAAGTTGGGGTGGGTAGAGGGTGGTAAACTAAAACAATAAAAAAATATTTTTAACAAAAAATACTGACAAAAATACATTTAAGGGTATTTTGATTATTTTATTCACAATATTTTTAAATAATTTATTTATTTTAAAAAAAATTATTTATTTAAAAAATTAATTTATACCCTAAAAATTGTATAATATAATATTTTTAAAAAATGAATCAAGTGCGTATTTATTCTGAACCTTCGGAAGGGTTACATGTTGTGGATGAAAGGCTGACATAGAAATTGTGTGCAAAGCGAGCTCCTTTATCACTACAGAGATGAGAGAGGAGACATTTTAGCATGTCCACCAATAACATGTTTGTTTTTGTGGAATTTTTGGGTTGTGGGAGACCCAAGTTACCAAATAGTACCACATGTTTGTTACGAATGGATGGAAAATACAAGATGGAAGCCCGGCTTCCACGTTTCCTAAAAGCAAGTTCTTCTGTCAGTCATTTTTAGGAAGCTGCTCCTTCCATTTCAAACCATGGAGCCGGTGTCCTCTTGACGCGAGGGCCAAAATTTGGACTCTGCCCTTTGCAAAAGTGGAAGCTACGCCTTACATCATGTAGCATGGAAGGGGCAGCTTCCACAATTAATGTTATTTTTAATGAGCATAGAAAGCTACCTTTCTAGGCTTAAATTTCTAGTCTCGCGCAACAAACACGAGTGCATAGTTGGCGAAACTAAGACCTTCCACTTCCAAAATGTTTCAGTTGTCAAACACGCCCTCAGTGTCCACCTAGAGGGCAAGATTTCATGGTGCCCGAACGGTATCTTATTATGGAATCCAAAAATATTGAAGGCCGCGGAAAAATGCATTTTCCAGCTTCTGTTTCTTGATCAGATTAGTGGTTCAGTGGGACTGGATTGTATTAATAGTGTTTGCCAATTAGCCCAATAGAGCCATGCCTCGCTCGACGGCCTAGTTGAGTTTTGCTTGAGTAGGACCAGATTAGCTAGAGCCAGACTTAATGACTCTTTTATCTAAACAAATCCGGTCAACTCATACACAAGCCCCATAGAAGCACCATAAGACAACATAAAACAAATTTTGAGATGAGGCTACTATAAAGTTGCATTTATACCGTGGGAAAGTATATAATGGAACTATTTACTTTCGATACAAGGTGGTCACAATTGATCTTGACCATTGGATGTGAAATTAGATGGCTGTATTTGTCTTATTAACCAAGTTCAAAGTTCAGAGTAAATTTTTTCAAACTATTAGATTTCACATCGAATAATTATAAGTAATTGTGACATCCCTCCCTATACCAAAGGTAAATGGTCTCATTGTATACAATTTCTTTCGATAAAAAGTGCAGTTTGTATAGAGTCGAGGCTCTAAACAATCAAAGTAAATCACACCTTCAAATAGTAGTGAAAAGTGTGGTTTCAATATTAGAAATCTTTGTAATAGCTTATATTTTCATCTTTAATAATAAAATTTAAAGCTTTAAAAATAGTATCGATCGAGCAAATCTATGAAAATCTTGAAAATTGACGGTCTAAAAATGCGTTACGAGATGCACTATTTCCAAAACTTGAAATACATTTTTTTTCTCATGTCCATACATCTGGATGTCAAGATGATCAATTTGAGAATATTTGAGCATCAAAACAACCTTCTCTAGTGAAATTTTTAAGTAGGCTCTAATTTGATTGTTTAGAGCCTCAACTCTATATAAACTTTTCCATTCCATCAATATGCTTGTCTTTTTCGCCCCTAAACAAAATGAGCTGATTGCTGACAATTAATTTGATGGCCCACTTATGGCTTGGGTCCATTCCTATCTGTCAAAATACGGTAGAGATGAATTATTTAACATCCCACTAATTTCTCTTGATTCAATTGAATACAGTAGAGATGAATTATTTAGCATCTCACTAATTTCTCTTGAATCAATTGTAAAGAGTCACTAACATTCATTAATCATAAGTTAGAATAATTGATATTTTAAGTGCGATTTGATAAGAGGGTAAACTGCAATACCTGATAGTCTGATACTTTAAGCGTGATATGATAAAAGTTCATTGAATCAACGATGCCAAGAAGTTCACGTCCATACAAAATTCCGTGCAAAATTTTCCCACAAAAAGCCAAACCTACAATTTGGTCCACGGCAATAATCTTGTATGATAATGAGATGGAGAGAGAGAGGGAGAGGGTTCTAAAGCTGTCTAAGTTGCTACCTATGTAGTTCGTTACATTAATTAGGGAAAATATAATTAGAAAAAGTTTGTATAAGGTTATCGTTTTATTTGAAGTAGTCTATAAAGATATGGGGACTTATGGCCTCACATAAAGTATGACCTTAAATAGAGCAGAATGACGGATCAGAATTTGTGTAGCTGACCCAATTAATTGAAAAAATGTTATGATGATGATGATATCACATTGTCTATTTTATCTGGAGGGTGTAAATTTGGTATTTTTTTAAAATAAGTGTCACTTTAGAATATTTTTTGATGAAGTACTCTAATGAAATGAAAAGCAGAGACTAAACCCTTTGGTATTAATTAAGATTGTTTGACCCCCTTAACAATTTTATATGGGTTCGGAGACCCTAATGATATTGTTTTACATTAGTTATTATTAGTTTTCTTTTCATGAAGTTAATACTAGGTAAGATCGATCTCTAAAATTTCGAATCATGGGGCTCGACCATGTGTTGTAGGTGGTCGGGCCGACCACCTAATTCCTCTTCAGATGGGTCGTTCAACAACAACGATTAAAGAACGCATCTTCTCACTTGTAATTCCCATAAGATCAAACTAAAATAAGGAGCGATTAGAGGGAGAATCCTTGTGGAGGTCAAATGGGCACCAAGGATTATGTACGTACCGGTTTTTTTTACCGTTATAACGGTATTATTAAAAAATAGCGCGTTATTATTTTGGAAACGTGGGTTCCCCAATTTTTTTAACTTTGTCAAGTTTACTCCCAATTTGATTTTTCAGAAATCGAACCGTTGGTTACCCTTATACTTATTGTTTTTGGTCCAGTTTGCTTTGGTCCTCGGACCACAATATGTTGCAACTTTCTATGAGCGGTTCAAACATCAAACTGCATTCTATCACAATTTTTTTATTTTTTTTTGTTAAAAATCAAGTGGTCCGTTTTTTTTAACATCGAACCGCATTATGTTGCAAATTTTTTATGAAAATCAAGTGGTCCAATAATTTTAACATCGGATCGCATCCCACTAAATTTTGGAGTGAACCATACGGTTCAATGTCAGAAACATTAGACCTCCTTCTATTGTACATTTTTAATTGAACCATTGGTCTGCCTTGTATTGAATTTTTTTTTTTTAAATCAAGTGATTTAATAGAACATATACATGCAATTTGAATACAATAAGAAGATCATCATTTATGTAGAAATTTTCTCAAGAAAACCCAAAATCTTTTTCCCCAAAACAATACCAAATCTATAAGAGTGAGAGTGAGATCTGCTGGTGATGTTAATAGAACTTTGAGAGAGAGAGAGAGGCCCAAGATAGGAGAGAGAGAAAGCGAGAGCGAGAGAGATTGAAACAGGGAGAGAGAGAGGGTAGAGAGCAGGCGAGAGAAGAGAGAGAAAGAAGAGAGCAAGTTTTCGAGGGGTAAATAAAAAGGTCTGATGTTTAAAACATCAGACTGGAACAGACTTGACAAAAAAAAAAAAAGGTGGATATGTCATTCCATATAATAACATGCTATTTTTTAGCCATATCGTTATAGTGGTAAAAAAACCCAGTCCATACTCAAATTTCCCTTTAAAAAATGCCAGGTCAGTAGGGAATCGCTCAGTTCGATCCGAGAGTCAGTCACTCCATTCCGATTTAGTGTATATAAAGGAAAACGACTGAGTCTAAAAGGGAACTCCGACAATTCTACACAGTAAAATGACGATCTAGACCACCGATTTCTCGATCCAGACTAGTTTTTAGCCACTTCACTGTTTTTTCACGTGTTTTTTTGGCACAGTAAAGCGGCAATCCAAACCACTGATTTACCGATCCAGACCAGTTTTTGGCCACTTCACTGTTTTTTCACGTGTTTTTTTGGTACAGTAAAACAGCAATCCGAACCACCGATTGATCAATCCGAACCGATTTTTGGGTGGCCACCGATCCGTTTTTTAATTCATATCTTAAAAAGAACACTATCTTTGGCGACAAATGCATCTGCTGACATTCTAATGTCCTCCTTAATCAAGCCTGTCCACAAATGTAGACAGAGAGAGAGGTGTTCTACTTTGCAGTGGAGAGAGAGTCTATAAATATGTATTACTTCAGGGGAGAGAGAGAGAGAGAATGCCTGTCCATGAAGGTCTTATGATTTGTATTTTGAGAGAGAGAAAGAGTCTATGAAAGTGTTTTAATTTGTATTGAGAGGAGAAGTAGAGTGTCAAAAAAGGAGTTTTAATTTGTAGAGAGAGAAAGGAGTTTTAATATGTAGAGAGAGAGAGAGAGAGAAGAACCTCCCATAGGCAACCCCGCCAGTTTTATCTGGACACCCCACATTGTTTCTTACGAACATGCCCGCCATCTCCGCCCACTTGGAGCGTCTCTTCTGCCACCACACTATAACCGTCCCCTCTCTCTCTCTCTCTCTCTCGAATAACCCAGTCAAATACCCTGAATCCTCTCTCTCTCCTATAATGGTCCCTGCCCTCGAAGTAGCACCCCAAGAGAACCAGGATCTGGAGCTTGACTCAGACATGAATTCCAACTGCAATGGCGCGACCCAAGAAAGGGTGGCCGTTATAGGAAGCGGCAACTGGGGAAGTGTGGCGTCCAAACTCATCGCCTCAAACACTGCTAAGCTCTCCTCCTTCCATGGTACCTACCCTCAAAGACCCAACTCCTCACTTTCTCTCTCTACAGATTAAACAGTAATTTTTGTCTATCCATGCACAAAAACAATCTCTCTCTCTTAAAGATATATGTGAGAGACGAACAAGAGAGAGGTTTGTCTCTCATAGAGATTGTACATGAAAGTTTTATAGATGAATTGTTTCTTTCTGAGTTTCCATGACTTGAAAGTTAATGGAGGTGAATGTGGCGTCTGTGGCAGATGAAGTGAGGATGTGGGTTTTTGAAGAAACGTTGCCCAGCGGCGAGAAACTCAGCGAAGTCATTAACAGAGAGAATGTAAGCCGAAAATCAAACTCTTTTGAGAGAGAGAGAGAGAGAGAGATTTAAACATGAAGACTTGGAGATCTCAAAAAACCTCACCCAACATCCTGAATTTCCAATGAACAATTGCAACTTTCAATGAAAAATTGTTGGATTTAAGGCAGCACATGAGAAAGAACATCCAAATTTTCTCAATAATTCTTATGAGAAATCAAAGATATCATTACATATTTTATGGATCACCTTAAAATCTGCATTCATTACTCTTGCAAAGGACGTGCCAAGACGTATTCACTTGCTGTTCTAAACAGGAAAATGTGAAGTATCTTCCTGGTGTTAAGCTTGGAAAGAACGTAGTAGCAGATCCTGATCTTGTGAATACAGGTAGCTTCACAAACTCTCTCTCTTCACAAACTTCTATCTACTTTGCTAGTGTCTTGCACCTCTCTCTCCACTTCTTTACTCCTCTCTCTCTCTCTCTCTAATTCTTCAAATGCATGTA